ACATGATAGGATCATTACAATGTATGATTTTCAGTCTCTATCCATTAAAGGCAAGAAACATCTCTATGACAAAGAAAAGTATCTTTGAACATTGCCTAAAGTCTTCTGGTGGTGGTGAGATGGACAAGATTATCACTAGGTTCATAATCACTGGCTTATACAGAATTTTGTGATCAAAACACAGATGTTACTATTGCTGATTTAACTTAATTTGTCTAATGTTTATTTCATTATAAATTGACATTGCTTTAAGAGCATAATAAAATTATAAATCTAAAATTCCTTTGTAATTCTTTAAAAAATTTTATTACATTTATATGTTTGCCATGTGGGTGGGTGCTCATGTGCCACAGGCATTTGTGTGGAGGTCGAAATATGTTGGAGTTGGTTCTCTCCTTCCACAATGTGTGCCCCAAGAATCAAACTCATGTTGTTAGGCTTGGTGACAAGTACCCTTACTGGCTCAGCCTTTGCATCAGCCCCGTTTGTTAATTTTTTTTAACATGCTTTATATTTGCTGTAATCACACATACACATTATTTTGTACCTTTTAAAAAATCTTCTTAAACTTAACATTTCACAAATATTGCCAAAATAGTAACAATGACCCACCAGTATTGCATTTTTCTGGCTGTACAACATACCATTGTATCAATATATGGTTTAGTCAGTCATTCCCTAGTGGTGGGCATAGAGGTGCTTTCCAAATTTCCATTATCAGAGGTAATCTGCCAAACACACTACTGCAGAGATATGTCGTTATATGTGCATGGTTTATACTGTGTGTATGTGCGTGGTTCAGTGGAATAGAAAAATAAAAGTTAAATCCCATCATAGTATCAAGAACTCATATTTTTTTTTAGCTTTTCTTACAGTTCAGAAATAGAAATCTGCCTTAAATGCTGCTCAATGTTAAATTATTAAAATGCTTTTATTGTTTTAAAAACAAACTATTTAGCAACAATGATATATTTTAGAATTATATGGTGAAAAAACAATTTCTCAATCTTTTCAAATTCCTGGCATGTTAAAAAATGTTGAGACATATTTGAAAGTCTTGGCTGGGCATGGTGGTGCACGCTTTTAATCCCAGCACTTGGGAGGCAGAGACAGGTGGATCTCTGTGAGTTCAAGGCCAGCCTGGTCTACATAGTGAGTTCCAGGACATCTGGAGCTACAGGGGACCCTGTCTCAAAAAGCAAATTAAAAAAAAAAAAAAGAAAAAAGAAAAAAAATCTTATATTAAAATTTTTAGTTCATCTGTATTGAAAATACTTTATCATTATATAATCTGGATATGGTTTCTCTTCTACATTAAAAAAAAAGGTTTCTAATCATATGTGTGTTTTCATGTCCGTGTCTGGGATGTGCATGTGAATGCAGGTGCCCAAGGATGTTAGAAGTGTGAGACCTCCTGGAGCTGGAGTTACAAGCAGCTGTGAGCTGCCTGATGTGGATGTTGGGAATTGAACTCAGGTTTTTTGGAATGGCAGTATGTTCCCTTAACCACTGATCCATTTCTCCATCACCAAACATCTTTTAACTGCCAATTTTTCACAAAAATATAGAATAAAACTGTGATTTTTCCTTTAGGTCACTAAAACCTCATATGGTCTAAATTATGCTGAGAAAAATAAAATCAGAAGGTTTGGTTAAACCATATATTTCTCTTTATCCCAACAGAGGTCTAAACAAATCTGAGGCAGATGATTAAGCATAGCATTACAAGATTCAAAGTAAATAACCTAGATTGCAAAAGACTATAATCTTCCACTGCAATGAACAGTTAAACAGCAAAGCCTGAGATATTTTTAAAAACAGCTCTTTAAGTATAAAACTGTTCTACAATATAAATGTAAAGCCTGTTAAATTAAAAAACAAAATAGTCTCTAAATGGACTGTTGACTGGGTAAGAAAATGGGATTCCCCTCCTACCTCTTGCCCCCTGACAAAGTCTCGTGTTTCCCAGGCTGTCCTCAAATTCACTAAGTAGCTGATCCTAGGATGACCCTGAACTTTTAATCCTCTTTGTTCTCATCGATGCCTGTTTTTTTTTAGTGTTGTTTGGTAGGAAAAGGTAACTAGAAAGGTCCTGCAGAGAAGCAGCCCTTAAACTATCTAGGTATTTATATGAATCTGTATTAAATTAATCTCATGTGTAATTTATTTTTCATGTGCAATTTTTAACTTTAGTGATGACATTTATGGATAAGCAAATATTTACATCTTTTTGTTATTCATTTTTATTACAATTATAAAAGTTGATAATGAACTGTTTTGTCTCTAAATACTATTTTATTTTTTAAAGTTTTATTATTTTTATTTTATGTGTATGAGTGTATTGCCTGCATGTATGTGAGTGCGCCCGAGTCGTACAATGCCAAGTCATACAATGCCACAGAGGTCAGAAGAGGGCTTCGGATTCCCCTGGAACTGGAGTTAAGGACGGTTCATAGCCACCATGTGGGTGCTGGGAATCGACCCTGGGTCCTCTGCAAGAGCAGTCAGTGCTATTAACCGCTGAGCCATCTCTCCAGCCCCTCTAAATACTATTTTAGTTTTGACAATAAATCTCTTATGGGGATAAATGGTAATACTTTACTTATGTGGCAACAGTAAAGGAAATCCATAAGACAAAGAATAATTAAAACCAGCTATCTCTATCACCTAGTTGATAACATTTTATTATTTAACCCCCCCCCTTTCCTATCCTGACTGCTAGTTCAAGACTAGTAAGCATGGTTGCCTGCTTTCTTAATCCACAGTGTATCAGCTAAGGCAAATATAGGATCACACTAAAGAGATGACAGTAGACAGACAGTCTGACAATAAAAAGGGAGACAGACCAAAAGCAAAAGTACAAACAAAATCCTTCAAAATATACAGATGAATGTTTAAGTCTAATAACTGATGTCAACAGACTTTTATAATAAATACTATTAATATTTAAAATTACCCTTGAGTCATTAAGAAAGGCTTAAATTGTGCTCAATATAGGAGGCATAAAAGTTCTTCATTAAATCATGAAAATAAGAGTTTTAGTAAATGTTTATATTTACTAATGTTTAAGTTTTGGTTATATAGAAAATTCAGTTAAGTGGAACACTTTAGTTTTAAATGATGCCAAACAAATATAAACTGGTATTAAATAGTAACATAAATACTCAATAAATACTAGATTTTGTAAAAAAAAAAAAAGGGGGGGGGGAACAAAACAAAGATGAAAATTTTGCCTACTTGTTTTAGGCTGTGTGGCATTTTATTAGTTGCACTGATCTGCTAATGTTAATATAGGCAGTTTCAGTTGAGAGAAAACAGTTCATATCCTATATTGGCAACTTCAAAAAGATTATCCTTGATAAAGCACAGCTCCAAGAATTCCTATTTCTTGAAGAATGGAAAACATTAAAAGCAAAATGCCAATATTGGAGGCCATGGACAAGTTTGGAGCTATAAAAGGTTATTCATCAAACTCTACATATAATCTAGAACTTTCTAATAAACATGCCCTCAAAGACCACACTGACAAGTACTTATAGTTTGTTTCCTTTAAGTTCTTCTACTTGATCTTATGAAGGAAGGTAATTTGCTCTTACTTCACTGACAAAGTCAAGTGGGTGGCTTTACAGAAAATCTCCCCAACGCTTGCAAAAGTTTTTCTCCTATAATACATGCCACAAGTACTTAAATCAACTGGGCTGAAACTATGCATTAGAAACAAAAATTCTTATTATATGGGAACAAATTAAAGTCAAGTTGTTAAATACAGTATATAAAGGTTTAGCAAATTTATTCTATTCTGTTCAGTTATGAAATATGATTATCTACTGAAAAACAATACCTTCTGCAAAGCTAAATTATGCCCTGATTTTTTTAAAAAAAGATATTCTTTTCTACTAAAGAATCAGTCCTTTATGAACATAAAACATTAAATAAGATGGGGGAAAATCATCTTTGGCTAAAGAGAAAACACTCTCTTTGAATTTACTATTTTTATTTTTTATTTTCAGTTTTTGGTCTTTTTTGAGACAGGGTCTCCCTATAGCCCCAGCTGGTCTGGAACTCACTATGTAGACCAGGCTGGACTTGATCTCAGAGAGGCTGGCCTTGATCTCAGAGAGATCTGCTTCCTTTTGCTTCCCAAGTGCTGCGATTTAAAGATGAGTGCCACCATGATTGGCTTGAATTTTTTTTTGTATAGAATATACAGCAGTCAATTTTAATAAAATACAAGGGTCTAAACTATTCTTAAATAGAAGTATTTCTGAAATATACAGTTTTCCCCATTCTCTGATGGTATGCTGAACATTAAGTTTTCTTACTGATAACTATTATTATGAACATTATTTCACCTCTTAGATCACAGCAATACTCTCAGAGGTGTCATATAACAGACTTCTGAAACACTTAAGATTCTTTCACTTTAGTACTAAATACCTTCAAAGAACTGAAGCTTTATACTTCAGTCTGCTCCCTTCAAAGAACTAGCAACACACCTTTCCTAACAGCATATAAAATGGCTACTAAAAATTTACTGGTATCAAATTTGCTGAATTGCTAATTATATTTTATACATATTTATATCAACAGGTATTAAGTGTAGAGCAAGAAGTGGCTTCATGATAAAACAAAAGTTTTTTTAAAAATAATTTTCTCCAATATTTGAGTCCTTCCCCTTTTATTTACTGGTGTATAATTGTGTTTCAAGTATGACAACCCAACTAAATGTCAGTTAAATAGGTGTTATCCATCTAATAAAGAACAACATGGTACACTTTACCAAGATGAGAGTATAATGATCTCATACTGTAGGCTTTCAAGAGCAGTATTAAAAATAAAAATTAGACCACAAGGGAGAAATTAAGGAAACAATGTTTCTATTTTTCATTGCAAATTTTCATGTACTCTAGAAGAACAAGATTTTTAAAGGCTTTAGAAAAAAAGCAGGAATAAATTTTAATGCTAACAATAATAGACAGAACTTTTGGATTAACACCTACCGATTTTTTTCTACTGTTTTCCAGATCTTTGAGTTCATTCTCGATTTTTGTGATTAATTCCCTGAGTTCATCAAGATTAGTGCAAATAAGCTAAAATAAAACACAAAAACACAGCTTGATAACACATAATATAAAACACCCAAAATGTGGTAACAGAAGTTGTTTTAACATACACTGAAATTCGCAATAATTTTTCTCTGCAATAAAATCAAGGAAAGCACCACAGTTTATATTTTGAGATATTTACTTGTTATGATATATCAGCTTCAGGCTTGGTATGAAATAAGCTAAAATTTCAACACTGGTGGTCTCAACCCAGACCCCCACTGAGAAGTTTGCATTATAATCCTGTTACTTTCTTAGCATTATTAACTTTCAGCCCAGAATGACAAAGATCTGGAAACTCACTCTAGATAGCACATGCTACCAAATCACCTTTAAGAAACAATCCCATCAGTCTCCTGGCAGCTGAATAAATGTAGCCCTGGAAAACTGTCATCATCTCTGCTTTGGTCTGAAAACTACATAATGTAATAAACCTTAGTTACTATTATTGGCAGTGGTAGTAAAGAGGTCTTAAAACTCTGTGTAATATATTCCGATATAAACAAAATTAAGTACACATTCTTGTTATGAGCTTAAGAGTTTTTGTTGCTTGTTTTTTGAGAAAGGGTCTCACTATACAGCCCAGGCTGGCCTCAAACTTGTGATCTTCCTGCCTCAGCCATCACATGTTAGAATTTCAAATGTGTGCTACCCTACACAACTGAGCTTAATAGTTTTATAAAACCATCTTCTCATGTATTATCTATTTCCTTCTAAACTGTGGGGTTCATTTTATTTCATACTGGTAGTACTGCCAAATGGCTAAAATGACTGATTCAGCGGTAATTAACTGAAGTAGCTTGGTATAACTAATATTTTATAAAGCGGTCAGAAATAATAAAAAGAATAGTAACTCCATTTTGGTACTTGTAAAATTATATTTAGTTTCTTCAGTGAGTTTAATGTATTTAACTTTTTCCCTAAAATAATTTAAGAGTATCTACTGCGAAAATGAAAATTCAGAAATAAAACTGCACCTATAGAGATGAAAAGTTTCATATCCAAGAAAGTACTGTTGCAATGTTTATACTGTATAATTTAAACTATAGTATATATTTATGTTACTAAATCATCATTATGTTTACTACATTCATTATGTTTACTACAATTCTTATGGATCAAGTTTTAGGCCAATCAGTGCTACATAGTGGGTCACAACAAGATAAATCCTTGTAGGTATTAAGTGATAAAAATAGGAGACAGAAGTGCCTTAAATTTACTTTGTATTAGATTAAACCATAAAACTTTGCTGACATACTTTTGATCTACAAAATGACAATATGGTTCAACATAATAGACTGAAAATCATCAGGGACACTATATTGTAATTAGTATTAACAATTACTTATTAGAAATATCTATAAAACTTTAAATATATTAATAGAAGCAGGGGAAGTATATACTTAAGTAATCCAAATTATATAATTTCAGGGCTGGGGATGAAGCCCAGTGGTAGAATACTTGCAAAACACAAAAACAAAAACAACTTCAGAGTAGAAAACATTACACAGTACTGTAGTGGGAGAGTGCAGTTAATTATTTATTAGAAATTGAACATTCCAATGTTATATCTGGTTATGATAGAAATGTTGATGATCAAGTAGAGGACTAGCCAACTAGGTAAGTACCTCCAAAACTAGATAACATCTTCAGCTTCTGCTCTATCTATAAAGACAAAGAACAATGTTAGCTCTAAATTTTTAGGAGTACTCAGACAAAACTCAGGCCAAGTATGGTGGTGCACATCTTTAATCTCAGAGCTGGGGAGGCAGAAGTAGGTGGGTGCCCGAGTTTCAGGCTAGTTAATGCTACACAGTGAGGCCTGTCTTAAAACAAAAACAAACAAAAAAAGAAAACAAATTCCTTTTTACTGTAATCTGTTATTACTACTGCTATGTCAGATTTGTCTCTCTTGTATACTAGTTAACATCACTGAATAGATTTTTCATTTACCCATATGGTAAATATGGGTAAGAGCTCAGAGAAATTTTTCCTTATATTTTAGCCACATCACTATAAAATAAATAAGGGTGTATTTTACATGCCGTTCATAAAAATTTACAGGAACAATGAAGGCATATACCTAATATAACCAAATACATCCTACATATTTATTTGGTCTTTTTTTCTTGTCTTCCCCTCACAGCCCTCCAAGCTGGGGCCTGACCTCAGGGCCTTGCACTTGGTAGGCAAGCATTTTATCACTGCGCTAAATCCCCAATCCCACATCCTAAATTTTTGAAAGATCTTTTAATTATCAATTAGCCACAGTACCAACTAATAATTATATTCTATCAATGGAACGAATATATAACACAGCTCTGAGGCCAAAGCATGAATGATTTCTACATCTTAAGAGCTATTATAAAATAACACTTTTAAGTGGCTTACCTAGTCAGTAAGCTGTACTAAATCAAATTTTCTCAAATTTCAGTATGCATAAGAATTGCATGGGGACCTTTTTTTGATTTAGTATGTCTCACATAAGACCTTCCACACTTCTGAGAACTTTCTAGGTACAATCCATAGACCACATTTTTGAATAGTCATGTACTAAATGACTGTGAATTATCAACCAGCTTGGCGACTGCAACACTGAAACATTCTGGTGCTATGGAGCTTAGGAACATGAAAATTCACAATAATTAATTTCCAAATTTAGGGGATAGAATAGTGTTAGGATAAAGTTTTAAATTACCCAAGTCCTAACTATAGATTTTATTGAATTTGAGGGTCATAGAAATTACACTAAATATCTATATAATGATTAATATCTATATAATGATTTCCACATTTTTTATTTTTTTGAAACAGGATCTCACTACGTAGTCCAAGGTGGCCCCAAACTTACTATGTAGCCTATGGTAGTCTCATCCTCCCAGGTACTGGGATTACAGACATGCTACCACAACCAGGCCTGATTTGTAAACTGAATATACAAATATATATTCTCTTATAAATGTATCTAATGTACACCTAACATGCAATATGTAGAATCATGTTGAGCTATTAGGAAATCTGGAGTAGAAACACAATTTGATTTATGCCAACTCTTTGTCATACACAACTCTATTCCCACTTGAAAAAAAAAAAGGCCTGTAAACTCAAATGGTGATTCTGTTAAAAACAGAATCAATACAAAAAGTAAAATTCACTTTAGTAAGAAGAACAGATGCATTTTGGAACAAAGGAATGCATCTTATTAAAACCTTTTCTTGGCTTAAATTTAAAAAGATCATCTGAGACATAGGGCCTCCAGAGTGCAAAAGAAAAGCTTCCCAGCAGCTTGGATTATAGTCACCAGAGGTTTTCCCTCATACTGCCGTGGTTACTGCAGCCCCTCTTCCCCAGGAAGAATCCAAGACTGACACTCAAAAGTAAGCCTTTAACTTGACTCAGTTTAAGGCTGAGTCACAAAACCATGGATCTTACAGTTAGTTGGAAGGAACTAAAAATATGTAACTTGGTTCAAGGCTTACCATAAGCTAAAAAAGTTTATTTTCAATTGATACACAAACTAATTAAAACCAGCAGAAGTAAAGTAACCTAGTATCACACACTGGTAGAGGAAACCAGAGACTATATCATAGTCTACAAAGGGGTCTTTGTCCTAAACAAAACAAAAAAATCTAGCAACAATTTAATATGTATCATAGTTTTAGGATATAATTCATATCTAAAATTTTCATTAAGAGATTTTAAAAATTTTTTATTTTTCTATTGTATGTGATTGTTATAACTGCATGTATGTAAATACATCCATGTCATGCAGTGCCTGTGGAGGCCTGAGAGGGCGTCGAATCCTCTGGAACTGGAGTTTCAGATTGTTGTTAGCTGCCATGTGGGTGCTGGGAACTGAACCTGGGGTCTTCTGTAAGTGCTCTTAACTGCTGAGTCATCTATCCAACTCAAGAGATATTATTAAAAGGTCTTCTTTTCAACTGAAGATGTATACAGATGAAAGAACTTCATGGACGTATCTCAGAGGTATTATACAATAAAGAATTTCTTACACTGTTACTTAAATCACCCAAATTATGCTATTTTCGTAGATACTCAATAGTTTTGAACGATATTTTCAAATAAGGTACCACACAAAACTAAAAATGCAGAATATACTATAAAAAAGGGAAAACCATGTAAAATAAAACCATGTAAAAATAAATATACACAATCATTTCACTACTACTCTAATAAAAAGATCCTATGATTTTTATAAAAATTGCAAGCAAAACACTAAATGTATGGTGTAAATTAAAAATCCATACTGTATTTGAATGAAAATTATATTAATAGCTGCTTCAATGGTGACAGGATAATAATTTATTTCTTATGACCATAATGCCACAGTAGCAACAACAAATTTTGGTAAATAATCACTCCAGACATGAAAATGAAGTAATTTTGACAAACAAGTTAATATTTTTAAATAGTATGTAATTAAAAACACATTTTTTCAATGCCTTAAAATTCAAAGATTTTTCAAAACATAATAATCTTTGTAATAAACAAAAACTAAGCTGAAAATTTTTAGAGTAGGCATGGTGGTACACTCCTTTAATTCCAGCACTTGGGAGGCAAAGGCAGGTGTATCTGTGAGTTAGAGGCCAGTCTAACATAGCAAGTTCCAGGCCAGTCAGGTACACAGTGGGACCTTGTCTTAAGAAACCAAATTATCAACAACAACAAAATTGATGTTAAGAGGAAGCAATTCAAAAATAATGATTTAATCCATAGGTCCTTAACACAGAGAAATTAAAAACTCTGATTTTAATACTGGTCTTAATTTGTTATATGAAGATAGTACTTAATTTCTTATTTCTCAATTCCTCCATCGGCTACTTAGACAAATACCTTTTTTCAGAGCTACATTAAAGATCCATGAGTTTACATTTGTAAACAGTGTTACTGTGTAAGTCTGATTATCTGGATTGTGGATTTCCTCTGCAAATTAGCCTATGGAATGAATCACACCTATGGAATAGATGCAAGTACATATTAAAAATAAATTGGGGATGAGTTGGAGTGGAGCCACCAATGAAAAGCAGAGTGCTGGTAACAAAAGCCAGAGTTAATTTTTTAAGATTATTTTTATTTATGTGTATGCGTCTGTAAGTGAATTCAGGTGCCTATGGAGGTCAGAAGGGCTGTATCAGATCCCTTGGAGCTGGAGTTACAGGTGGTTGTGAGTCCCCCAACATAGTTGCTAGGAACCAAACTCGGATCCTCTGGGAGAGTAGCAAACTCTCTTATCACTAAGCCATCTCCACAGCCTCTAATTATTTTTGAAAACTTGATTTACTGGGACTTGACAAACCAAGTTTTAGAAGTACTTTTTATGACTTTCTGTCATAATAAACTGCAAAAAGAACTAATCACATACTATTAGATTTTTCTCTTAAAAACTGAACAAAAGGCTTTAAGACAAAAACCACTTTATTAATAAAGCTGACAATTACTTTTTAGTCTAACAGTCTTTCTTATATTACTAAAGAAAAAATTTCTCCTATATGCCACTGTATATAACCAATAAGGACACTAGAGTAAGGCAGTCTAAGTGTTCATTCTGCGGTCAGACTATTTGGTTTTTCCGTTTCAAAATTCTTATAGGTTTAATCACGTGTCATTTTCCTAAGACCAAATTCATGATTTATTTCAATGTCTTCTGTAGCTAGAAAAGTACTAAGGTCAGTAATAGATGCCCTTAAACCAAACCCTAATGAATTTTCCTACTTAAAATGCAGTATTTTTTCATCTCAAGTCTAGAACAGTAAGCTAGGAAATTTAATCCATACAACAACTCAAATAACTTAAGTATTAGTATTACTCCTCTGTGTAGATGAAGAATTGAACCCACCCGAAAGATTAAGTAACTTACCTACGATTACAGAGCTAGTAAGTGGTAGACCTGATATTCAAATTCAAGTAGCCTAGTTCCTACAATTCTTGTATATAACCACCATGCAGACTGTTGGTACCCACTTACTCACTGATGTAAGGTCTCTAGAGGATGAAGCCTAGGACTCCTCACTTTTAATAAAGGTAATAGAGTGTGGATTTCCTGATACTTTTTGATACTTTCTGAACTTGAGAACCAATGGCTTAACTCTTAGGAAAAAGTGACACAGATATTGTTTCTTTAAAAACACAAAAATAAGATAAAATTCACCACTTCTGTGTTCCTAGTGCAATAGGAATGAGGTATTATTTTCTTAGAGTGAGGCATGTATGTTAGGTATGTAGTCTCACAAGGCAAATATGGGAGGAAAATTTGATTTCTAGCCTTTAACAAGTCAAAAAAAAAAAAACACCATCAAAGTAGCTGATATCAAAATAGGCTTCACTTTTTCAGTTCATTCAGATTTACAATTTTTAATCCTGCCATGTGGCCTTTAATCCTAGCACGTAGGAGGCAGAGGCAAGCAGCTCTTTGTGAATTCAAGACCAGCGTGGTCTACAAAGCTAGTTCCAGGCCAGCTGGGGCTATAGGGAGGCCCTATCTCAAAAAGACAAAAAAAAAAAGATTTTGTTAAGTGCCACATATTTAAACAAGCCAAATATATGAAAATGTAGCTATAATCTTTTTTATTATTTTTTAAATTTTATGTGTATGTGTGTATTGCCTGCATGTAGGTAAGTGCACCCATGTATTGCAATGCCTGCATTTTTATTTTATGTGTATGAGAGTTCTGCCTGGATGTGCACTCATATGCACTCATGTGTACAATGAAGGCCAGAAGAGGGCATTGGATCCTCTAGAACTGGTTGTTAGCCATCATGTAGGTGCTGAGAACTGAACTTGGGTTCTCTGCAAGAGCAGCCAGTGCTCTTAACCACTGAGCCATCTCTCCAAGCTTCTTCTAAGCATATTTTTTATCAGTTCAAAGACCAGCCGGGGGAAACAGATCAGGTTTTACAAAAGGGATTTAATAGTTACAGGTCAAAGTTTCCTTTATTTTCAGCAATATTTTAGAATAGATACTATTAAGAAAATATTTTGTTTAATTTTTTTCTATAAAGTGTTTTTATGCTCAATACTACAACTGAGGTGCTAAACTTATTACTAGAACTTTGAGGGAAATGACTCACTTCTTTATTAAATAATTGATATTTTTTTTGCTTGTGGGCAAAACTATAAGCTTTGAAGACTGTGAAGTTTAATGACTAATATTATCTCTATTTTATTAATGTATTTATTTGAAGCAAATGATCTATTCTCTTAGAAGATAGCTGCCCACTTTCCTTATGAATCATATCATAGTATTTGCACTTTAATATAGAAATAAGAACCCATTTTCTTGAGATATTTCCTTATCTTAGCCTAACACAGAACCACAGAGAGACACAGACACACACACAGACACACACACACACAGAGGCTGTGCCTGCCACCCCCATGCCTTAAGAACCAGGAAGAGGACTTTCATTTGAACAGTTCGGTTTAGTAAAACATGTACTTTTGACCTTGAATTTGTAAAAGTGATAAGCAAATGGTCAATAACTACTAAAAGTATCACTTAAAATAATGTTTTCCAAATTTCTGTCCATGATCCAGTCAAAAATACATTTTACAATGCATTCACCCCCCACCCCTAAAACCAAAGTATCATGAAACAATATATGTAACTACACACATTCACAGTATTTGTGACACACTGATTATGGTATACTGTTTTTTTTTTTTTAATTTTATTAACTTAAAAAAAATGGTCAAGTGATTACTGAGTTCATTTCATTTGTCACTAATATCACAAGCAATTGTACAAGCACTTGCACTATGTAGTCTGTGTTACATATAAAACTCTACTCATTATTATACGAACAAGGAAAATATTAGATATGGACCAGATCTGTCCCAAGATCTATAAAGTTCCATATTAAGGAATTAAGGAGAAATGAGCAGGAGGGATAGCAAAGGCCAGCAGGATACCATGGAAGGGCAATGATGCAACAGTGCAGCAAATGTCACAAGCAATGACTCTAACTGAACAGTAAGTTGTAATTTATTTATTTATTATTTATTTATTTTTATTATTATTAGTTTTTGGTCTTTTTGAGACAGATCTCCCTGTAGCCCCAGCTGATCTGGAACTATGTAGACCAGGCTGGCCTTAACTCACAGAGATTCACCTGCCTTTGCCTCCCAAGTGCTGGGATTAAAGGCGTGCACCACCATGCCTGGCTTAACTTTTTTTTTTTCAATATGCTGGAAATCAAAACTATACAAAAGATTCTATAGAAATGTTTGTAACTCATTCTAATAGTGTTATAATGAAAATATTCTAAAATACATGTGCTTTCTTTTAATTTTTATTTAAAAATATTTGATTATCAACTTCCCCCAAACAGTTTCTTTATTGAAAATAGATGTGTCTACATTTGTGGATATAACTGATAAATTGAGGTTATATATTATTAATTTTTCAGTTATTGCTCCTTTATTTTTATCTCTACTAGAGACCTAAAAGTTTATTTTTATACTGCTTTTCTCTTTTGGCAATAAATTATGAACTCATAAAACTTGGAAATCAACTGGCCATAGTATTACAAAGAAAATTTTAAAACAAGTGTCATTTGTTGAAGAAAACATTTCTTAAACAGGAAATAAAAGCATAATTATAAAGAAATTGCTTATTTTTAGTATTAGCTACAAACAGAAATGCTTCACATTTGGCAGTTTATTATCAATTTTTTTCCCATAAATGTTTAAAGACTA